CATGTGGCTAACTAATGTGTCACCAAGATTGAGATCCCCTGGTGAAAGGGCACAGTTGGTGACTATGGACCAGGCCAAAACTAACTAACTCCACAGAGCTTCTACTAGCATTACTCTTCTTAACTTGAATTTTAAGGAAGTTTACTGCACTTCCCTCCTGAGGGTTAATAATTAAGTGTGGTCACTAAGAACATTCAGTTAATTCCAACGTAGTCTTAAAAACTGATGTTGACCTGATGGAGCCAATTTGAAAGCATGACGATCAAGTAAAGCAAATTAATCTGTATGACCGGCTTAGGAAAGAAAGGAATTAGATGAGCATTAATGGAGTAGGAAGCAGAACAGAGGCCTGTTATGGGACCTTCTCAATGAACCAACAGTGGGTACAGAGGCTGGGGATATCCCAGGGATAATATGTATAATGGATGGTAGATGGTCTATAAAACTGTTTGATTCAGAATTTTCTGTTTAACTCCAAACATCATTAAATGTGAAGTAGGTTATGATTCTTTTTGAAAACTCTCATGTACTCTACAGAGAAAGAGAATTCATCCTCTCTAGTGTTTTCTACAATGATCAACAAATATTAAATAGCAACCATATAAATTTACTATAAAAGCAAGATGATTTCCAAAAAAGATGACAGTAAAGATCTAATCTTTCATCATTTAGAGAAAACCACTACTAAGCGCCTAAATGTATACTATTTCAGAATTTGTTTGGTGTATACACTTAGACACATTTTAATAAGAACAGCATCTAATAGTGAGTACTCTTTTATAACAAGCTTGTTTGTCATGACAATATCTTTATGAGTTTATTTCATGTAATTTAATAATCTCCTACAACATTGTTTAAAAGCACAGCATATTGTACTTTTGTTTGGTGGAACAATGATCTACTTAGTCAATCCCCTATAACTGGACATATAAACTGTTTCCTCCAAATTATTAATCACACTGTAAATGATAATGCCCAAAGAACATCAATCACTTGGGCTTCAAATCCAATATACTCTTGCCTTAGAGCTACCTGAGAAAGATGCAGAAGAAAAGAGAACATTTTATTCACACAGTCTCACTAGGCCTAAGCCATTTTGTAATTTTATCTGGCTTGGAGAACAGCCAGTGGGATGCAGGTTGCAGAGGAAATATCAAACAATTCACCTACAACTGACGTCGTAATAGGCTGCCCGCAGTGAACACCAAGTTTTCTCACTGCTCTGCTAAGAAAGACCTGCAAATCCCAGAGGAACTTTGCTTCCTGCTCAATATGTCAGAAGCAGCTTGTGCTTGGGTTTGGACTGACTTCAGTTCTCCTCGGTGCTGTGCTTTCCTGTTAATTCTGGTTTTAGAATTAATCACTTCTTTTCAATAGAATCATTCTTGCAATAGGTTGGTGGATGGGTTAAAAAATTTTAATAACCCAAGAGGCCTCTGAATTTAAGGTTTTAGTTTTTCTGGCTTATTAGTTTATATAATTATTTGTTCATGCAGCATTTGTATATCACTTTTCTGATCACGTTATACTATGTGAGATTTCCTGACAATTTCCTGAGTTCTGGCTTCTCAGCCTGCCTAGGCAGCTATTAACCCCAGGGCAATAAGGCAAACAAATGGCTGAAGCACTATCCAGTATTCAGATAAGGTAAATACCAGCCTTCTGAGCTTCTAAATTGAATTGGACACCTTAGTTTTGGGGGAATAATATCTCTTCTATTTTATTAATTCTATTAAAACCACTCATAGGAAAAAATAGGTTTTCTTAAATTTGGAGGACAAGATAACTTATTATTTGCTAGAATTTAATCTGCCTGCGTCTTTGTGGCATGCATAAACATCATTAAATAGTAACTTTGGAGGTGGTATACTTGCATTCAATCCATCATATGCACATTCAATAAAGCAAGTATTTATTATATCTTTACACTGTGCCAGGCTCCCTTTGTCTGCAGAGTATATAGAAACAGAGGAGCAAGAGATATTCCTGCTTTCGAAGAGTTCAAATTTTGAAGTGTCTGCCTTTAAGGAACACACACACACACATCTGACTATTGAATACAGAACACATACACATACACACACAATCTAACTATAGAATACAAAACATAATTCTGCCTCAGATAAGTGAGAAGGTGATGCTCCAGGTGCATCCAGAGGAAGCAATTCACTAGCTGGGGGTTGGAAGAAGTTTTCTGAGAGGAGGTGATAACTGAGTGAGGTCTAGATGGAAGACAAATGGGAAACAAGCATTAGAGGTTAAGGGAACCATCATGTGTGTAAAAACACAGAATGTGATTAGAAAGTGGCAAATAATTTGATGAAGCTATTGCTAAAGGTGCATGTGAGCCAAGATGTGGCTGGAGAAATAGGTTAAAGTTAAATCTGGATAAACTTTGGTCACTAAAGAACTTAGATTTTGTTCTACAGAAATGGGATCCTTGAAGTCTTTTGGGAAGTGCAGTGACGTCAGATCTGTATTTGAGAAGACTACCCTGGCAGCAGTTGGGAGATAGGAAAACCAGTTAGGAAACCATTTCCATCATCCTGGAGGGAGACAGGGAAACTTGATCTAGAGAATAAAGAAGGGCAGCCCAGTATTGTTTCTTTCTTACTAAGTTGGTAGTACTTTCAAGCACACCTGTTTCCACATTCGCATTTAAGAATATTTATTTTGGGGAAAACTTGGAAAGATAAGCAAAAGGCAGCAGATAGGACTATAGATGCTGGCTATAGGTGGCAGCCCATGAAGTTGTCAGTCTTTCTCAGGAGTTTATTGTTTAATTATCAGCTCAAGATGCTTTGAATTTCTCTAAAACATTCTATAAAATCAAGAATGCTTGCAGACCACCAGTGTTATTATGCTATGCACAAATACACGCACATACACACATATGCTAAGAAGTCTGTAAAAGGCTTTCAAATAACCTTAAGGCAAACAGGAAACTAATTCTGTATTAAATTTCGCAGACTTTCTGTGTTCAAACATGTTGAACCTGTTGGGGATGAACTATGCCTCTCAAGTTTCCTTGGCATTTTGTTTGTATCTCTTTAAAGTACACACTGCATACAGTAGCTAGTCCATCTTAAATGTCCTTGAAGGCAGAAATCATAGTTGGTTCATCTTCAGGCTTCCTGAAGTGTTAGGCACAGAGTAGGGACTTAGTCAATGTTGAAGAAAGGAAGGAAGGAAGGAAGGAAGGAAGGAAGGAAGGAAGGAAGGAAGGAAGGAAGGAAGGAAGGAAAGAATGGTTGAGTGTGGGGTGAAGAGTTTGGGACAAGAATGGCTGAGGGCAGGTAGGAAAGATTAAATAAGGACCAACTAATGAAGAGTTCACCATGCTGAGGAAATACATGAATGCACCTGATTAATCAAAAATATTTTCAGTAAATTCGGAGAGAAAAACTGACTAATCATGCTATGGTAGATTAGCTAGGAAGAAAAAACTGTCACAGACTGAAACAAAATCAGATCACTGGCCAGAAAGAATTTTAAATAATTTTAAATAAATTCCTGGCCAAAAGGCACATTTATCCATTTTGTTGTTGCTTCTTTTGTTTCTGCATTTTTTTTTAGAAGTTAAGATTATGTGCCCTGGAGCCAGCCTTTGACCCACGGGTCTCCTACAAGCTCTGTGACTTGGTACAAGTTTCTAAAACTCTCTGTGCCGAAGTTTCTGCATCTATAGTTAGAGTATTAGTAATACTAACTCTCGAGCTTGGAGTAGTAAGTAAATGACTTACTGGATATAAAGCTTTTAGAACAGTGCCTAATATAAATGTTTCAAAATGTTAGCCTTTTCACTCTGTATGATTGCTGTATTTAGCACTCTCTATGTATCAGGTACATTCAAAATTCTGGGAATAAAGAGATGAAGATGATACTATCTATCCTCAAAAAGCTGATATTCTATTGGGGATGACAAGGGGAAATAAACAATTATAAGCCAACATAGCAAGTGCTATAATAAATGTATGTATTACACTCTTCAGGGAGCAGAGAAAAGGGTGAGAAGGGAGGGCTGAGCTGAGGTTGATAATCTGCACAATACAGCCAAGTCCACTGACTTCATCTGGTCTTTACTCCCTTAAATTCCCTGTTTTCTTTTCTTGCACAGACAAACTTCCTTTGTCTGCATCCCTTACTATGGGAAGGGGATCCTAATTTCCTCTAGATCATTTGTTTAGAAAACATAATTGAGTGATTTCCTTCTGGCTTCTTTGAATGAGGAAGTAGATGAGTGGGTATTTCTAGGGTGTGGGGTGAGGGTTATGCTCCCCTTTGGCCAATGGGAATAGAAAGGAAGCCTGGGAATGAAGGAGAGAACAACTTCTGGGGAGGGCCCGTTACAGACTAGACCAAAGTTTTAGGTAAATAAACAGAGGCATCTCGGGGCCTTGGTGAAGATGCTGGGTGAGTACTGGAGGAGAGGAGAGGTGGGGACAGGCGGAAATGGGGTTCCTGTGCTCTTCTCAAGTGTGCATGGGAGGGGGTGGGAGATTAGTGAATTGAAGAAAGAGAAGGTACAATACAATGGGTTTTATGCTTCTGTGCATTAAGTCTAGCCACCTAATGCCCCATCAGTCAATGACTCGAATGGGAAAGACCACAGTAAAATGCCGACATTTAGAAACCTTTTTTTTTTCTTTTTCAGAGTCCATTGCTATATTGAAGAGACCCTGCCAGTAAAGAGATTGCTGAGGAGAAACCTGGAAATACTTTGAACCTCAATGGATCTGAGGAAACTATAGGTTCCTTCTGTTGCCAGCCTTTATTATAAGGTGCCACCACGAATATTAACACCATTCTGTTTATAAACTGCCTTGTTTATAAACATAGGCATATTTCATTTGATTTTCACACCCACCTTGTAAGGTGGGCCCTGTGGGTGGGCTATTTTTATATAACAGCATATGACACAGCAGTTATAAGCTGACAAGTGAGGTTAAGTTTGTCTACAGGTGAGGAGTAGAGCCCAGTGAGCAAGAGAGGCAGCTTACCCCCTTTCCTTCTTCCACAGAAAGAAAACTTGGGTAGATCCTCTTCACAGACCGGATAGGAGTAACTAAAAATGGGTTCTTCTTTAGTGAAGAGAGTTATGTCAAGATACAACTGTCTGATGTCCTCTCCTAAAGGGAAAGAAAGGATTAGCTTTACTATCTTTTGCTGTATGCCAAAGCATTCAAAGTTTATAAAAGTATGAGCCCGAAGGCCTTTCATTTCTAAAAGTCTGTGCTATATGAGGAACAGTTTTCTTCTTTTCTTGGTAAAACATCATTTAGATAGTGCTGCAAGGGATATGAGATGCGGCCCTTTCACAAACTTTATCTACCTGGGACAAGGTAGTTTATCTCTGTGCTGCCCTGCCATGATGCCATGGTGGGTTGATGTGATTGCTGCAGGTCAGGCCTCTACAACTTCTCAGCTACATAGTATCACATACCTCCCCTGAGAGCGCTAGGGTGTAGTCAAACTTGCATACTCCCCACTATTGCTAGGAAGATATCGTAGCATAGTTACACAGGAAACTTCAGGGTGCTCTCTTCAGTGCTGGCTTCCAATTCTTTCTGGAACTTTTTCCTATTCCTTCCTTTTATGTTCTGCTTACTCCTCTTTCCATTTGGCTTTTCTTTCTTTCTTTCTTTCTTTCTTTCTTTCTTTCTTTCTTTCTTTCTTTCTTTCTTTCTTTCTTTCTTTCTTTCTTTCT